GTTAGGGCTTGGACTTTAGGGTTCAGTGGAACAGCCATCGCACGATGTCGGGCTACCCAAGGCCGTACCTATTCTGTAAGACGTGTAAACCTGAAACCTGTAATCCTAAACCCTAAACCCGAAACCCTGAAACCGTAAAACCCTAAGCCTGAAACTCTCAGCCCTGAAAATCCTGAACCTTCAACACTAAACTCCTAAACCCTGAAACCCTAAACCCTGAGCCCTCAGAGGCCTTCATGACCGGTGTCCACTCGGAGATTCGAAGGGTGGCGGCAGCCCCAGGAGCAGCGCAGTGCTTAGGCTTGTGGATGGCGGCCCAAATGGGACTTTCCGAAAATGGGGGACCCTAATATAGTACCCTAAACCCTAATCTTCGGAAACTCCCAAATTGGCTCCTAAACTTTGAAAGCCTCAGAGAGGGTTTAGGCTTTAGGGTTCCGGGTGTAGGGTTTAGGGTTTTTAGGGCCCTTGGATGCTGAAGCCGTAGATGCAGCCGTTGCAACGCGGACATGTGAAGGGCTGTTGACATTTGTGCAGATTCGATCTCCTCGCCCGCCTCTACTCAGCGACTCCAATATCGCTTAATTAAGGAATATGCCTTAAATCATAGTAGGATCCCCAATAGGATTTAAGGAATGTTTCTTAATTTTGGGATATTGGAGTCTCTGGGAAACTGCCAGATAGGAGCTGTTCCACTGCACCCTAACTCCTTAAGCCTGAAGCCCAACACCTTAGATCCTCGCCAGAGACTCCTATATCCCTTAATTAAGGGCTATTCCTTAAATCCTATTCGGGATCCTACTACACTTGAAACTATATTCCTAAATTAAGGGATGGTGGAGTTTCTGGGTCCCTCCAGTCAGCCAGGAGATCCGATGGCCCATGGGGCCAGCAGCAAACTGATTGCGGTGGATAGGCCGTCTGCTGCATCCCGCGAGGATCCTTCCATTCCGACCTCTCAGTTCTTTTCGGAGGGGGGCTACGGTCGCAAGCAAAATTTGTGCCAGTTGTCGGTGGGTTTCTTTGGATGCTGTTTTGGTGCTTTTCCGCATGTTGGTATTGGGGGTAGGGGGAACCCGTTCCTTAGGAAACCGGGAGCGGAGCTTCGAACATCTTCGAGTCAAGCTTCTGATTTAAGGGACGAGCCCTGCTTTGGTCAAGGAATGGCGGGGAATCCCGGAAGTCCTTTCATGGCTACCCTGAGGGCTATGCCCAGCTGATTGAGTCTCCGGACACTTGGCACATCACACCCATGCAGATTGATACTCGCAATCGCGACTGCGGTGTCACACCTGCCAGCATCACGAACTGCACCAAGTGCCCTGGCAGTACCAGCGAGTCGCGACCGTTCAGGGCCCAAGTGAAAACAGTGATAGTCTCCGCTCCTAGATGTTCGTCATCGTGATCCGTATCATCATCACCATCGTCACCATCACCATCATCATCATCATCATCATCATCACATCACCATCATCACCATCATCACCATCATCATCATCAGCATCATTACCGCCACCATCACCATCGCCATCATCATCGTCATCATCATCGTCACCATCATCATGGCCATCGTGATTTTCATCATTACTTCTTCTTCTTCACCACCATCATCATCATCTTCACCACCATCATCATCATCATCATCATCTTCATCTTCATCTTCATCTTCATCTTCATCTGCATCTTCATCTTCATCGTCACCAACATCGTCACCAACATCGTCATCGTCAGTGTCAGCATCATCTGCATTTGCATCGGAATCAGCATCATCGACTTCTCGACGTTTGTGTTTGGCTGCAAAATCAGAACAATGAGTTCGGTTCCAGCAAGTTGGAGAATTTCGTCGCCGATGGCAAGCCACATATGATGATTTTCCGTAACATGCTCCCAAAAATACGTTTTCTGACATGGCAGACGCCAGCCATCATTTTAAGACGTGCAGAATCGCCTTTGTGTCTAGATCGACAAGAAGACCTCCGGCCGGCCTAAGGTAAAAGCCAGAAAGTTGGAATATGATTATCCTAAACCCTTTATGGTAAATTATAGGGTATCCTACCATGAAACCATTCCCTGTAAACCCTAAACCGTCCGAGGTTCACACCAGGACCCGAGCCAAAACAGGCCAGGTACGGCCTGGGTGTGCCAAAGGACACGAACCTAGGTAGGGCTTTGGGACATTTTATATTTTCCCTTATTGGGCTTAAGAGGATCTTATTTACTAATATTTTTCAAAGGCTTTAAAAGCCCCACCTAGGAACTACAGCGGCATCTTAGAGTGCCCCTGCAACTCCCGGTACGGTGGAGATCCCATGTTCTACCCGGAGGCGTGAGGTTCGAGGGCAGATCGGGAAAGATGCTATTTTGAAATTGAAAAGTTGAGGCTGGAATATCCACTTGTGGCTGTTCAGGGATCCTCTCTGCCTCAGTGCACCCTGAGGCACAGACGAAGATTGTCAGCCACAAGTATACGATCGTTGGGACAGGGGCCTGCGCGGCTGGTGAGCTGGTGGAGAATGCCAGCGACTGCTTTGCAGCAGCCACGACTTTGGGCTTGAATGCCTCCCACTTCATAAACAAGAGCGTGGCCGATCCTGCGCTACCACCGGGCTGCTCCGTGACGGTGCATTGGGTTCACCTAATCATCAGGTTATCTAGGTCCAGGTGATATTATAGCATTCCCACATGTTGAAATCTGGTTGGAAGAGTTCTGGCTGTTCTTGCTTTTGCGGTCCTGACATCATTAACAAAACCCAAGGCGGACGGCAGTGAGTCCATAAACCCTACATGCTAAACCCCAAGTAAGGTGGAAGCCAACGAGTCCCTGCATGCGAAATCCTAAACCCTAAACTCTAAACCCTCAGGGGCTTGCGTGTGCCTCCTCAGGCAAAAGCAGGAGTTCAAACAAACCCAAAACCCTAAACCCTGAACCCTAAACCCTAAAAGCATCTACTAGATTGCCGCGGCGGAATCTGGCTCCCCTTAGCCCCCATGGCATTTGGCGTTCACCTCGTGATGATACCAATGGGGAGAGGGATGATGATGAGGACAGGGTCGACCTCATGCAGCACACCACCCAAGTGAACTCAGGTCGATCGGGAAGTTCACCGGAAAACAATGTCCGGGATGAAGTGGCGACACAGCTGGTTCAAGGTAACGTCATTGACACGATTGACACCATGCGCAGGCTGATGGACCGCCAAAGGCACCTTCGTCATTGCGACCGGCTTCTCGCTGTTGCTCTTGAGGAGTGCCTCCAATGGCTGAGAGTCCCCCTCACCGCGACTCCCTTCAACGCCAGGGCTCTGGAGCTACGTATTTGGCAGACGGTGTGCGTGCAGGCACGATATCAGTCTGACACAGATGTTACTCCTGTACTACCACCTGCTATGGAGCCCACCTTCCTACTTCAGCCTGGTCTACCAGCCAACCTTGATGAACTCATGGCGGCTTTCCCACCTCAAGAACGACCACACACAATCGCTCACTTCCGGCGGCGTGGCTGGCGTGTTCATGTTCGCGGGCTGTACGAAGCGGTGGGGCGAGTTGTTCCTGAAGGCCACTGGGAACCCGAAGATGACCGCAGGCTTCTTCTCCTCCAACGCGATGAAACTATGCTGGTTGAGAACTGGCCCCTAGATGTTGGTCGTCCATACGTCCCACTGTTGCAGGGAACTCGTGACGGACGCCGCCGTGGACATCGTCTTCGTCCCCCTCCGCGTCTTCGCCCTGATCTATTGGCTGCTCGACATGCTCTTGGCCCTCATGCTGCTGTCCGCGAACCTCGTGCTGTACCAGTACCACCGGGAGAAGTTCCAGCAGATCATGCTCCCCAGGTTCCCGTGGCTCCTACTGCACCACTTGTAGAATCTGAGATGGTTGATCCTGACACCCATGCAGGAGGTAATGATGGTGTTGACTCGTTGACTCGTCCTCTGGGAGCAGATGGTTCTCATGGTGATCCTGCGGATGATGAAGGAGAACCTTTCAGCCGTGGGCCTCGTCGTCACATTCTTCGTGAACGTAGTCGGAGTCGTGATGAGTGAAGCTGGTCGTCTAAGCTGATGTGGGTGACGTCTGAGTCGGCTTTTTGTTTGACTTAGTGCATGCTCCATCTGGGGCAAGCTCGAACTCTGCTGGAAAAGGGGCTACTGCACTTTAAAAAAAAAAAAAACCCTAAAAGCAACCCTCAGGTGGAAGCCAATCAGTCGGCAGCGGTCTATTTCAACACGGCCGGGCGAGGGAACTGCAGCGCCTCCTCGAAGCGCTCCGGGGAAGGGATCTCCAAAGTCGGCGCCGCTGAGCTCGGAATGTCTTAAGGGACTTGGGGTTTCGTCTTGAGGGTTTTGGTTTTAGGGATTTGGAGTTTCGTCTTGGGGGTTTTGGTTTCGGGGCTTTTAGGGGTTCTTTTAGAGCTCTGAGGTGGGATTTTGTGATTCGGGGGCGTAGGACTGAGTAAAGACGATGCTGTTCATGGTGATGAATTACACGTTGGCTAGTGTGTCTCTTCGAAGAACTTCGCGTCTTCCGGACAAACAATAGCAAGACCTTCAACCTACGGTTGATGGTATAAATCCTGCATGACCTTAAGGACCCTAAACTATGCCAATTATGGTATATTCCTTATTATGGGTAATGCAGGATTTATATCATCAACCGTAGCAGCTGGTTCGCCGGTTTTCCACTACAATCGAGGTGAAGATTGCCATTGAGGTGGATGCAACGAACACGTTCCAGAGGTCACCCGCAGGGGAGTTCTGCGAAAACAATCGCGACTCGGCTCTTGCTGTAATGTTTACAGCAATACTTGTTGTTGTCTCTCCCTTCTGTTGCTGCTGCTTCATGCTGTTGCGTCATGGCAGTTTCTTTAGGATCCACGGGTCTTGGCGAGTCTCTTGTATATCCTGAAGTCAACTAGCTTGTCAGAAAATCACGCTGAACCCCTTTAATTTAACCTTTAGGTTCACCAGTATCAGCTACAGCCCTTCATGCAAACAGGCAACACACATCGCAAACCCTCAACCCTAAAACCCTAAACAGATCGCAAGGCAAGGGCAAAATCCAAGCGTTCCCCATGCGGGGCTCTACATTGGCAGCTGCAGAAGCAGCTCGCGACCAGTGTACCCAGCCGTTGGCCTAATGTTGAAGAACCGCTTTGAATTGTGTCTATGCGTGGCTTGAGAGGCTTCAGAAATCATTTATCTGTCGATCTGACTTGCTTTTGCTTTTCGTTCTGCGTTCGTGATTTTTCTATTCTGCGCTAGCTTTGCGGGCAGTGTATTCAGGTTTTCTGTTGTCATACTTGTACATCACTGTTTGTACGCAACCCATCCACTCTCGAGCCACCTCCCAGAGGGACACCTGCCCGGTGTTCCAATTTTAGATGCGGCGAAGGTGTGGTTCTTCGGGCTGAAGCAGTTTAAGCCTGCACAGATACAGTAGGCTTCAGGCTTATGAGGCTCGGAATGCAAGCCGTCTCTGAGGGAAGGCTGATGCTTCCGAACAGGCCCCCTTGATCCGAACTCTAGACTCTAGACCCTCAACATCCCTAAACCCTTAAAAACAACTTCGGATGGTCTCTTCTCTTCCTGAGGTTTTGCTGGGATGATGCCAGCTGCTGGGGTTGCAGTGTGGACTGTGAGCAGGAGCCAGCTTTCCCATCCTCCGTGTTTGTCTGCGTTGATTGTGTGTGTGTGCGCGTGTGTGCGTTTATGCGCATGTAGTCATGTAGCCACCTGCGCTCGTGCACTGGTACGTTGCGTTCTGCGGGGATTCATGGGTATCTTCCCGTGTACGGAGACCGGACACAACAGGGATTGAATGATGTTCGATCTCAGAACTGGCCCAGAACACCACAGAGGCAATCAGCCGCGCAGCCCTAATCTCAAGATCGTTTTGCCCTGCAGGAGCCATATGCCTACGGCGCTCTCATTTCCGCATGCCAGTGGAACGCCATCACATCCTGTGGAAAGGTCATGAAGTGGTCGGGATCCATCAGAGGTGACATCAGCCGCTGGCCTTAAGGTGTAAGCCTTTAAACCCATTCATAAAGCAAGTTGGTATTTCATGGGCCCGAGGAGGATTGAGTCTTCTGGGGGCTAGCATTTCGCGGCTCATCGAAGAGGATCTAGCAAAACGACATGCCTGCGAGCACTTTGGGAGACTACTACAGGCAGCAAGGAAACGCAGTAGAGACATTGAAAGTTGGGCTAGGATATTCTGGCTTACTTCAGCCTAAATTCGACAACATCCACAATCGGCCTCGTAGCGTCTGCTAGTTCTCCGTGTGCTTTCATGCAAACACGGACCGTCTCTGTCGGTCGGGGATTCACCTTGCGCAGAACTTTCCTGCTACTGGTTGCGAGCAGAAGCAGAGGCGCCGAAAGGGTTGTGTCTGGAAGAAAGCAAGCTTAGTGAGCGTAACCTTTAAATCGCAGACCCGATCTGTTTCGCACATCGAACTCACAACATAATCAAGGTGGACATTTGGAATTTTTGTCTGCCGCAGGATACCAGGCACTTTTCGGGGTCCAGGAATGGACTCTAGGGTGGCATGAGGGTTCAGAGGTTGGGTTTAGGGTTTCAGGGGCCTGACATGAGGATTCTTTCAGGGCTTTGGCCTTGAGGGCTTGTCGAGATTGGGCAGTATTGATATGAGAAGGTATGAAAAGGAGGGCCCAGGGTTCTGGCAGAAAGCCCAATACCGCTTGGCTCAGCAATGTAATGTACCGTAGGCTCTCCGAGTGCTCGAGGTCAGAAGCAGCCGCAAGGTGGCAGCGTTCGGATCACACTGTCGGGACCCGCAGGCGGGTTGGGAGATTCTGCCGAGATTGGCGCGCGCATGTGTGGGCAAGGTTAAGCGGAAGACACACAGTAGGTAGCAAGTACAGGGAAAAGTGCCGGTATGATACGGGTTTCATGAGTGATTCAGGGTTTGCACATTTGTCATTTGTCACTTCCGGCCTCTGCCCATGAAAGACATTCTGGGACGGATGAGGATTTAGCTTTGGGCTTGAGAGCTTCGGATTTCGGAGCTGTAAGCATCGAAGGCTGGAATAGCCCAAGGCCGGCACTCTTTCGCCAAGGACTTTATCAAGCCTTTACAGCCGCCTCACGCTCGGCCGGCTTTCAGTTTCATCGGTTTTGGGGTGGAAGTTTTGAACGCTTCAGGGTCGCAGCTCGCAGTGGCAGGTGCATGGTTTGGTGCCGGCTTCAATGCTTCCGCCATGGCCGACAGCCCCTACACCCTGGTGGCGAATGACGCCGGAGCCAGCTGTCCTATTGAGATCAACTTCGTCAACCTGTGCTGAAAAGTAGGATGACGGCTAATCTTATCCACTACTTCGTGATTCAACACGTCGCCATCCCCTCCCCATGAGCCATGAAGGCATGAATGGGCAATTTTTTGCCATGCCCCCTCAAGAATTACGAGCCTCTGAAGCGCTTTGCTAGTCCTCTAAGCCATCCACAACCAAGTCCTTGGTCTTTTGTGTCAGCCCTGTGGCAGTGAACCAAAGAGGTGCAGAGCTGCTTGTATCTGCCCGTGTGGGTTTTAGGAGTCGCGGAGATGAGGCACCCAAAGTTTAGATCCTTACTCAAAACTTTCAACGAGCTTAAAGAGCCCCCAAAGCAGACACCCAAATTTCTGAAGGTCCCATAATATAAAGATCAACCGCAAAGGGCACACTTGAGTCTCTGAAAGTTGCTTTCGGGTCTGAGCTCGGCTGAGGAAGCATGGGCAAGGCTTATCTCCACGCTGGTCCTTTGATCTAGGGATCCCCGGCATCGGCTACCCACCCAGAGCCTGAAACATCGGCGTTCTCTTTCATATTTGGGTGGTTGTCAAAATTATGGTCCCTTTTTAAATCCGCTATTATACTACGGCACCTAATATTTAGGGCACCTAAAAGGGGGCCATAATTTTGACGACTACCCATATCAAGAAGCACCCCTACGATGAAAGCTCGGGCTTCAAACCCCCGGAAGCCCTGAAGCCCAAACTCTTCCCTCAACTCCAAACCCAAGGGCCCCGTAAAACTCGCGAACTGAGGTGACTGAGAGAAAGATCGGCACCTGTGGTAGCGAAGCAGAGCACTGTCCGGGGGACCTCCTCTCGCCGAGCTTGAAGGTGCGCTGGGGAGAGTGGGGCTTCAGATACGTAGTTCGGCTCGGGTTTTGGTTGTATGCGGCCGAAGACAACGCATGTGAGCAGTCTCTCTGCACATGCCTTCGACGCCGTGGAAAGCTGCGTGACACATGAAGCGGGACATGCAGTCTTACGGCTTCTGAGGTGCTATCGAACTCCGTTGCGCAGGGTGTGCGCACAGTAGTGGTGTCCCGTGGCCTTGCGGGACTCACCAAGAACCACTACTCCTTCAACCCTCATGGAGACGAGACCATTCGCTTCATCACGGCAGTTGGTCAGTCGCAGACCTTTGCATACCATCGTGCTCATGGCCCAGCACAGGTGGCGCTGACCAGTGAAGGGTCCAACTCCTGCATCTGTGACAAAGGCATCACTGGCCGCCTTTGTGAGACAGGGGGAGTCAACTGCGCCGAGTTCGAGAAGGACCGCAGTTCTCTTCTCGCAAAGTCAATTCAAAGCTCCGAATGAGTAAGATGCACATCCATGTCTATGTCTCTTGACTAGCTAGTTGTCTAGTTGCTTAACTTGCCAGGCTCGCAGTCTTGCGCGCTCTGTGACTCCAACGTGGTCCGAAGTAGATAATGCAAATGAAGCCACGACACGCTCTGCCAGGCTGATCTTACCCAAGCGAAGCTCATGCCAGCTAGTTTGGGCCAATCTCATCTCTGCTGAGTCTTCTCTTCTGTCTTGCGCTGTCTAACCCATGCTTGTCACACTGCCTGGCTCATACAATACAGGGGCCTCAATAATTGCCTATACTGTTTTGGGGGTTCCTTATTATAACTTAGTAGAATGGGCCCCAAAACCCTATTCTAATTATTCAGGCCCCTATAGTACCTCTCTCTCACGAAGACGAGGACTGTGTGGCCTTTCCTGCAGGGGACCTGAAGGCTCAGCGGAACCCGACCTGCAACTCGCGGCAGTACGCGGGAGGCCTCAGCTGCTGTCACCACAAGCGGATCATGCTGGATGCAGACCAGGAGATCCGCCCCGAGCTCCTGAGGTGGGAGCTTCCGAAAATTGGAGATCCTAATAAAGTATCCTAAATAGTAGGATCCTGTAATTTTAAGGACCCCAGAATAAGGTACCCCTAATTCTCGGAAACTCCCAGGTATCACATGAAGTTCCGGTTCTGGTTCCAGGAATACAAGGCGAAGTCTGCGACAGGAGGTAAGGCTTCCCACGCGGACCTTCCCCGCATCTACTACCAGACCGAGGCCCATGCAGGTGGGTATTTGCCAAAATTAGGGTTCCTTTTTGGGTACCCTAAATATTACGTGCCGTATTATGTTAGGGACCCAAAAAGGGACCGTAATTTTGACAACCACCCAGGTGAGTATGACATCCCCCCGGCTTTTGCCAAGCCGGGGCACCCCGTCGTGGGGTATCCCGATTGGCCTGTTGGGACTCCTACGCCAGGGACGAACTGTACTGGAACCTGCCCTGACGGCCCGGACTGCGAGTGTGTCCATACCATCACGTGCCGAGGCATGCACTTCAGTGGAAGTCTTGATACGTAGGCTCTACTTAAAGGATCATGGGACTTAGTAATTGGGGTTATAAGTAAACTACAGTTACAATTACATATTAACGCCAATTAAGGCCCTACTTACTAAGTCCCAAGATCCTCCAAGTAGAAGTTTGCTTGAGTCTAAGCTTCGATTGATTCTGGATTGGAGCCAGGTATCACTGGACTGTCAGCAACATCCGTCTCTTTGTCATAGTTGGGTAACATTTTACATTTTTATGGGTACTAAAGAATAAGAACTTACATCTTTTTAGACTATCCCAACCATGAACTAGGTCTCATCTACGCTGGAGGGCACTGTCATGCGCCCAGCTGCATCTCTATTGAGTTGTACCACAACCTCACCGGCACACCACAGCTCCTGTGCCGGCAGCTGCCTTATTATGGCCAGGGAAATTTCCCCAAGGACAACTTGCGAGTCTTAAGCCCTAAGGCCCTAAACCCTACACCCTGAACCTTCAGCCCTAAACCCTACACCATGAACCCTAAACCCTGAACCCGTAACCCTAAACCCTAAACCCGAAGCAAGGACAAGTGGGACGAAGCCGGCTATGTAACCTTGCCTCCCTGTCTCTGGAGTGACGAAGATCCAAATCTGGACCGATCTGTTTGGCTGCCGGCCAACACACCGCTTTTCTCTATCAAGAAGTGTCTTGGACCAGCTGAGGTTCGCAGGTTCTAGGGTTTCGAGTTGTGGTTTGAGGAATGTGATGGTTGGCTAATCTGTACAGGGTCCAACAGGGTAGCTGCGGAGCATGAGACTTCCAGCTCCCATTTTGTGTCTTCCTTTTTCTTCTCTACGCGTCGCGTTTTTTCCACGAGAGACGGACGTCCCCCGAAGACAGCTGCAGACTGCCAAGGAATAACAACACCCACCTTGGTCACTTTGGTGGCTGGGCGGAGAGTGTTTGCGTTTTAGGGTCAGTCAGAAAGGATTTAGGATCTAGGGCCAAGGGTGTAGGACGTGCGGCTGGGGTTTGGGGATCAGGGTTACGTAAGGGTTGCAAGTTCAGTCTGCGGGAGGGCCAAAACTTCCTTTTGGGTTTGGGGCTGCTAGCAGCATCAGCGGCAGCAGCAGTAACAGCAAGTAACAGCTGCTGCAGTAGTAGTTAAGGCAGATCAGGAGGGTAGAGGTTGTCGAAGCCAGCGCCAGAACCGGAAGCCAGAGCAAAGGCGAGATGGCTTCCTGGCAGATGCGCGGCGTGAGCTTCCCGGCGGACCCACCCACCTTCGTGTGAGAGCAGCCGCGATAGGATATAATATAGGGGCCTTAATGATTAGAATAGGGCTTGGGGGTATATTCACATTATATACTATATACCCTATTCTAACTATTGAGGCCCCTATAATAGGGTGCAGAGGTCGGCCCTGCAGTGAGCTTGTTGGAGCCCTGCAGGGCTCTCACGAACTCGGAGGCTCTCTGTGCTCTGTGCTCGTAGAAGTGCCCTTGTGGCTTAACTCAGGCCCCAAACCTTCAGTCGGTCGAAGGTTGGTTGGTGGTACGCAGCCTCGGAGTTTGTGAGAATCGGATGCGACGTGGTGTACACAAGCTATGCATTTTTGGAAGTCCGATCGCCTTTCAGGCGGCTCCCTGTGGCTGTGGTGATATTTGAAGCGCACCAGCTTGTGCAAGTTTGAAAGTACCCGGAGACTCCAGTATCCCTCCGTGAGGGAAGATACGTAAATCATATTGGGGATCCTTCTATGACTTAATGTGTTCCTGAATTAAGGGATATTGGCGTCTCTGCGTAGCTTCCCAGAGCAGCTGACCGCACAGCTGCCGAAGAGAAGCAAACACAAGGGCACTTTAAGTACGGAGGAATCCATTGCTTTGCCTGGGCTGTGTCATGACTGTGCTGTGTCATGACGGTCCTTCCATTCTCGTCCTTGTTGCGGCGGCCGCTTGTTATCGTTTCATTCTGAGCGCCGTTGTTTCTGTTCCGAAAGGTTGCAATGTTTGGTACTTACATCATCATAACCACAGATTAGTTGTTGATTGTGCTACTGTGGTCGTATTATTCGAGGTGGTCGCTGTTGGCGGTGGCAGGCAGTGATTGTGAGTGTCATGTCGAGTCTCAGTCATCGCTGCAATCGCGATTCGTCGTCGTTTGCATCTTTTGCCTTGCATTCACCCTTACATCGCCATCACTATTTCCCAACATCTCCTTCGCCAGATTCTATGTATGAAGGTCGCTACTACCGTCATGTTCGCCGTCATCGTCATAGCATAATCAACACCAGCAGTGCCATGTTCATCCTTGCCGTTGGCATCACCTTCATTGGCATCGTCCAGCGCCTCGTCATTGCAGTCATCCGTACTGTACACCGATCAGAGTGTAGTGTGGCCCTGCCAATTATTCAAGCATGGTTCTTCATGCCATGAGCGGCCACGACTTCATGCTGCAACTGTTGCTGTCTTCTCATGTACTTACTTGTGCTGATTGTCATGTTTACAGCCTCCATGGAGCGGTGTGGATGTTGACCTTGTTACACTCCGACAAATTTCGATGATGTGTTTGTCCTAGTTCTTACTGCCGCTGCAGCTAAAGCGGACGCACATGACGATCGGGCCTTGTCCTCATCTTGGTCGCAGTACTTCCAGTGGGAGTTGTCAGCTCTCGGCACTGCTTAGGCACACGCGCAGCTCCTGGATGCCCAAAGGCTTGCTCCGGAGGACAAGAGAGCCGTGGAGCTTAGTGTCGCTGCGCTGCTTGCTTCAGGTTTGCCATGGTTGCGCTGTGCTCCGGCATAGGGTTCGTAATGAGACGTTTGCCATCAAGAATGCGCAGCACCCGACCTCTGCGCAGGCTTTGGAGAGGTGCATGGATGCTACAGTAAAGTGAATCAGGCTCAGAAGTGCCACAACTCTGTGTGTGTGTGTGCGTGTGTGGAACTGCAACAGTTCGCTACAGGCAGGTTTCGGGCTTCTTGACAGCACTGTGCCAATTTCGCTGGGGCTGATCAATCACACATGCTTCGACGCAGAGCAGCAGCAGCAGCAGCAGCAGCTGGTGGGGTCATCTTTGATGGAGCTTGGACTTTAACGCTGCGCACTGGAGGGCTGAAGATATGCATTATGTGTGTGTGTATTTGTTTACATGCATGCACGCAAATATACGTATAAGTAGATAGAGAGATATGTTTGTGTACATCACTGTGTATGTTTGTGTGTGTACACATTTATATATGATGCTAAGAAATGCCACGGACTGCCCCTTGCGCGTTTTCCACCAGGTAGTGTCGACAGGAAGCACAGTGGTCACTCTTATTATGGCTTCTTTACCCGTCAAGTCTCACGGGGCACTGGCAAGGCAAGGCTGGCTTGAGAGCTTATGACCATCGTGCTGACTTAGGTTCAGGAAGAGCTACGGAAAGTCAAGATCGAGCTTCGCAATCTGGCTGGGTTGGAGATCTTGTTGCGTCGTTCCTTATGAAATTCAGATGAAGGTAGACGCACATGTCATGGCGCTTGTACTTGGTATGGTTTTGGCGCATGTTCAAGCATACGACGTGCCGGTCGCCGTAGCCATCAGGATCATCGATTTGGTGCTACCCTGAATCTCACGTGATGCTCATTTCGTTGCCAGCAAGGAAAAGAGGAGGAGATGGAAAGCCGCGCCAAGGCTTTGAGGGAGGATGTTGCGCTTAGGATTTGCGGGTTTCCGGGTTTAGTTAAGGTTTGTCTTTAAGGTTGGGGGCTTTAGGGTTCCAGGGTGAAGAGATTACGACGTGCTTTAAGGTCCATCTATGGTTGCAGGTGTTTTGATCTTAGGTTTGGGGTGAGGGGTGAGGATTCTAGGTTTTGAGGCTGGGGGTTACGGAAACCTTCAACCAGTCTGTACAGCCATCCAGCACCATACTTCTATATTTCTAGGGTTCATTCGTGGTGCCAGGGTGGCATTTATTGTGGCGCATCTTTGTCCCACAGCAAATGTAAGGCCCAAGCTTCGTGCTAAGCGATCCCTGGTCATGGTTAGATCACCTGCAGCATTGGGAGGCCAAAGCCCTAAAGCCCAAAGCCCTCAAGATGTTTGAAGACCCTGAAGCCCCAGACCCCACACGCGTTGTCACTGATTTTCAGTGCGCTCCCCTGGCAGGTTGTCGAAATCCGGGATGGACTGAAAAGGCCTGGATTTGGCAGAGATCCTAAACCCTACACTCCTACACCTCAATCGTTTGAGGCTCCCACAACTTTAAATTCAGGATCCCAGGGTTTCGGGATGATTAGAATGGAGTCCTTAACCCTAGACCCTAAACCCTAAAACCGTTTGGCTCAAGCTGTTTTGTGTGACTCAAGCCTTCTGGCAAGCAGTTTGTATAGAACAAGTGTACAGAGCCATGGCCACAGAGGTCACTGCGGGCCAGAAGAAGCTCAGCAGTCAGCAGTTTCTGAGTATGTTGGCGAAAGTGCAGAAGGAAAGGGCTGAAGAAGCGCGCCTTGAAGCTCAGGTGATTGAAGGGGGGCAAGGCTCACTCAGTACAGGAGCATCGACAGGACCCACAGGACCCGCCGGAGGCTACGAAGTGATCAGACCACCAGCTGACGCGGTTGCACCCGGAGTGATCAGACCACCACCAGGTCACACGATTGCACCTGGAGTGATCAGACCACCACCAGGTCACACGATGGCACCTGGAGCGATCGGACCACCAGGTCACACGATGGCACCTGGAGTGATCGGACCACCAGGTCACACGATGCCTGGAGTGATCGGACCACCAGGTCACACGATGCCCCGGCCTGGAGTGATCAGACCACCACCAGATCACACGATTGCACCTGGAGTGATCAGACCACCACCAGGTCACACGATGGCACCTGGAGTGATCGGACCACCAGGTCACACGATGCCCCGGCCTGGAGTGATCAGACCCATTGCACCTGGAGTGATCGCGCCGCCAGACTCCACTCGCAGACGAGAGCTTGTTGCAGATGGGAAGACCATCCCGGTTGCCGATGAGGGTGAGGACGACTCGGAGCTGGACAGTCCAACGAAACGTCCCCTTCATGGAGAAGCACCGCTCAGTGCACAGGAAATTCGTGAGCTCTTGTTCGGCCATGTGAACGAGATGAAGGATGCATGGCGCTCTTTCCAAGGTCGTCTTGATCGTGTGGAGGCGGAACAATTACAGCACAACCACGAGATGATCAACCTTCGAACCAGAACGCACGCTCTTGAAAAGAGCTCTTCGAGTATGGGCCGAAATCAGGAGAAGGCTTCGAAGTGTTTGGAAGATCTTACTGAGGACGTCAAGAAAATGAAGGTGCAGATCGATGACTTGCAGAAGAAAAGTGCCTCCAAAGCTCCACTTGCTTCCTCAGAAGGTTCACTTCCCCAAGGTGCTCCCAAGTCTGGTACTGTTCATGGTCAGGCTGACCCTTGGGCTGAATTCTTCCGACTCAAGGGCAACAAGGAGATGGAGTTCAATGGCAATCCTCCTCGGGGTGATGTTCAGAGTGGGGCTGATTTTCTCTCTGAGGATGAAAAGCGTACACTGGTTGTCGGTGGTTGGGCTCGGGATACTAAGGGGGCGGTTATTGAGGCCGAGAGTGGGGTGCTGTTCAACTTGGAAGGCATCAAGGACTCAGTCGATGCGGAGAAGCTCACCATCTATGGTCCACGCAGGTCCGTCGGCATGCTCAAGTTCCTGCAACGTGAGGGTGAATCTTACACAGAGGTCAAGAATCGGATGTGGGGTGTCATCAAGCTTGTGGCGAACAGCAAGATCGAGCTAGCCAGTACCAAAGAGCTGGGAGAGCCGAGGAATATGTGGGCGAGTTTCGTTAAAACAAAGGCTGCTCGTGCTAAAAGTTCCTTGGTGTCCTTGACTCGGAGAGTGTGTTGCGACTTGGCAATGTCATCTAAGAATGCGGAGGGAGGGATCAAACACCTCCTGAACACCCAGCATACCGCGTATGATTGTGACTGGAACATGGGCACGATATGGTGCGGCAGTCACAAATTGGCAAGCGCAACCCACAAAGCTCCCCGAGAATGTGAGGTCATTCTTCTCCCCTCTGGCTGGGTCGCATCAGAAGCCGTTGCAGCAACCACAGGCTGTACTGTTGATGAGGCCAAATCGGCCTTTGAAAAGGAACTATGACATGAAGAGGGAGACGGTTTCACCCAGGAGGATCTGCTGTCGGGGAGAAGTCCAAAGGCCACAGGGGAAGTTCTCCCTAAGGGATGCTCTGGCAAAGGCGGAAAGGACTCGGCGTGTGGAATACATCGCTGGGGACGTGTCGTTAGCTGGAACCTCGGTGGTCAGTCTTTGAAGATGCTGGACGTTGCGGCGGCTGATGCTGATATCCTTCTTGTGCAGGAAGTTTCTCGAGGAAAAGATGGATGGGATGGTGTAGAAACCGATGAATATCATTGGATTGTACATCGTCATCGTGAACAATGGAGAGGAACGGCTGTGGGAATCGCCAAAGATCGGCTCGACTGTGTCATTCGGAAAGTTGCTTCTCCTCGGGGAGTTTGGGTCCTTGCCAGAATTCATGGGCTCGGACGTGTGGTTTGTGGATCCATCCATTGCTACACGGGTGTCACCAATGCACGATATCAGGCTGCAGTGGGCGAATTCTTTGCTCTACTTCCGGCAGAATGGCGACGATATCCTCTTCTGTGTGGGGTGGATGCCAACGAAGAACCGTGCTGGACCGAGAAGGAGATGTCTGAAGAACTTGAGGTTAGTCATTGCTCGGACAACCTGAACGTTCTACTCGATGAAGCAGGTCAGCATGAGTGCTGTGTTATCCCTCCGCATCGATCTCAAAAACATGTGCCGACTCACTACCCTAGGGATGAGACGCGTGATGGCAGACAAATTGACCTCATTCTTGCAAGGAATCTGCGACTTGGCTGTGTTCACATTGATCCGGTTAGAAGACATACGATCAATTCTGATCATGCTGCACTCTTTGCTGAAGTTGTCGTCAGAGGAGATGTGCCGGCTAGACAATGGGGAAACGACTCTAGAGCACTTTGGGTCCATCGTGAACTTCCGGCAGTCACTATTGTCGATGATGGGGATGTTGCTGAACGTGCTCAGACCTGTACGCGGCCTCGACGTTCACAATCTTATTGTGACAGTGCGGAGACGAAGTCTGCTATCAAGGAGGCCAGAGTCTCGAAATCGAAAGCCTGCTGGAAGAGAGTGCACCGACTCCGGCGACGTGACCGTCAAGCTTGGGAGGAACAGAGATTGTCACGCATACTCCTTGGAGGTTGGGACGAATTTCGAGCTCTGCAAAATGAAAAGAAAAAACGACGAGGTTGGTGGGGAGGCATGCTTGACGGCAAAACTCGGCCACCGTTACTGATGAAGTTCAGGCGCACCTGGCTGAAAAGATGGTCTGCCCCGAAATGAAGAACTGGGATGATGATCTAGATCGCCTTATAGATGACCTGCCTGTTCGGGATGAGTTCATTGGATTTACACTCCAAGATACGGGAAGAACTTCAACAAATGAAGTGCAGAAGTGCGGTAGGCCCGGATGGGATCAGTGTTCACCTGCTGAGAGAGATGGCGAACCATGAGTCCCTGAGTGTTCAGCTGCTGCAGCTCATCAATCATATAGTTGAGAAGCAAGAGACCCCGGAGATCTGGAATGTCAGTTTCCTTGCCCTGTTGGCCAAGTGTTCGCAACCGCTCAAACCCAGTGATCTGAGGCCGATATGCGTCAGCTCAGCTTTCAACAAACTGGTGAATCGTCTTGTTTGTGCCCGGGCCCTTCCTTTTCTTAGGCGTGGCTCGAAGATCTCAGCATGTGGGAGAGGACGACAAGCTGCAGATCTTATAGGGGCGGTCTCCCGCATCCGGGATGTCATTCATGAGTGGCGAATGCCAGCCTTGGTTTGTAAATTGGACGTCGCAGGCGCCTTTGATCGAGTTGATCGTCGCAAAATGGCGAGTTTGTTAATCGCACGCCTCAAGGATACGGGAAGAATTGTTGAGCTCCGCTACCTCCTTGGCCAACTACATTCTCACCTCCTTGAGGGGCGTGTGCCTGGTGGTGGCAAGGTGCGACTACGACCCAACACTGGCATTAAACAAGGTGCACCTGAGAGCGCTGAACTGTTCGGTATCTTGATCGACTCCCTGCTTTCAGAGTTGGTTGATAGTTCTTCGTGGAGGAGCTTAGGTGGCCTGGCGGATGATTTCGATGTGGACTTGCTCTTCTACCAGGATGACGTCTTCTTAGTTGACTGTCAGCTAGGCAGACTTGTTCGTCGGATTCGAGTTGTCGATCGTTGTTTGGGTCAGGCTGGGCTCAAACTTGCCACTAATAAGACCAAGATCATCGCCAGCCGCAATTACTCTGGTCCTAGACGGGCTGAAATTGGGGGTGATTGCTTCACGATTGCCGGCAAGGATGAATCCATCAAGGTCCTGGGGGTGAGCTTCAACTTCTTCGAGGGCCCCTCTCAGCAGGCACAGGAAATGTTGGGTCGTGCTCGGGCGGCTGTCGCAGCCCACTCTGATGTCCTCTGTGCATCTGGGCCGTGGATGAAGAAGGTTGAAATGCTGCGATGTCTTGTTGAAGGGGCTTGGAGCTGGACCGCTGGTGCTCTTCACTGGAGTGCCCAAGATCTGATGGCGGCAAACACCCTTCAGCTCCACACACTCAGGAAGATGTTTGCCCTCAAGCGTCTCAGGAATGAGGACTGGGTGAGTTGGAACCAAAGAACCTTGAGGTTTTGTAGAGTTTGGCTTCACACCAACCAGGTGTCAAGGTGGAGCGCGAAGATCCTTGCATTGCAACATAATCTCCACGGCCATTGGGCGAGGAGAGTTGAAAGCAGTCGGGGTGGCCGAGTATGCTGTCACTGTCTGGCAATGCGAGCTGTGCTCTGGAGGTGTACCCATTGGTGGCGTGGGCGGCAGGCGATGAGTTCGTCGAGTGGCATGAGGCATCCATGTAGATTTTATGCATCGAATCCCGAGAGGCAAGTCGCTGAAACACAGGGAAGCCTCTGGCATGTGGGAGCTCAAGACAGAATTGCCTGGTGTGCGGCAAGACGTAGATATATTGATATGTGGGATGTGAAGTGGAGCAGTGGCCGTCAGTTGGCCTTGCGATTCTAGTTCCGTGATTGTCTGCCTTGTGAAGTTCGATCTGAGAGTGCAGTCCACCATTGAACCTGATGATGATTGGCTCAACCTATGTGCCCCTTCGTTTGCTCCTACATCCTGACTTCGAAAATTCTTTTCACTTGAGATTGTCACGACTGATGTCAAGACAGGTGTCTTTGTTTGGTACGACGGAACCCTCTCCGGCACACTCTCGCGCTATATTTGGGATGAGTTTGTACTCTGCATTTGCTTGTAAGCTCCGTTCATGAATTTCACGGCTGATGACTTTCTCTCTCACGACTTTGCCCACTTCAGCTCAGTTCGTCGACTTGCATGAAGTGCCTGGGATGAATGTGCTTCAACCGTCGTGTCTGTCGGCTCCAGGTGATACGCTGTCACAACCCTCAGCATCCTCGCCTTCTCCTTATCATGGTGGCCCCGCGCTATCTTGTGTGGACGCCTTTGTGGCTTTGCCTTTGGTGGACTGCCTCTGCGTGGGACGAAGAGAATGAGTCGGTCGATGAACCGGCACATCCTGCTGCCGCTGCTTCCTCGTCGGTGGCATTGGTCCCTGGGGCGACTTCATCACAATGCTCCGCTTCCTGGACGTACACTCAGTACATGCAGTTCATGGCGGCAGCTTGGGATGAAGAAATTTCGGTGGCAGCCCAACTCGAAGACTATGAGAACGCCACGGTCAATCACAGCGGCCTGGTGATGTCCACTATTGAATCACCAACGCCTGAGTCGGTGCCTACACCCTTCTCGTCAGGACATGATGGGGGCCCTTCGTGTTTGGAATTTGGAGACCTGGCGCCTCCTGCATGATGGACGTGTACTTCGTGGAGGACGTGGGACCACTACAGGACTACCTGGACGTGACCCTGACACCTGGCTCATCTCCAACAACAAAGCCAAAGGGGGTGAAACGTCTGGGACTATCGACAGCCTCCCTTGCCCCTGCCCCGCCTCGCTTGTGGGGAACGACGCTGAGGATGGGCATAACCATGGCACTTCATCGTCCTCTTCGTCTTCCTTCTCGGCACCCTGGACAAGCTGGATCGGAATGAGCGCTACTACCTCTGGCGACCCTACTTCCTCGTCTTCGTCTGCATCGGGGTCATCTTGGAGGCAGCGATCCTGCATGACCTCATGGGTGAGTACGCAGGTGAACGCGACAGAGTCATCGGAGGGGGCTTCGTCGAGCTTGAACTGGACCCTGAACACCAGCCTGCCCCAAGACTGTGACCCCCCCGAACCGGCTCTCGGTATTATTCAAAGATTCGATCGAACGAGGCCGGGACGTGACAGGTGGCACAATATCAATGGGAGTATTCGCAGCCGACTTCGAGAACGACGTGCTCAAGAACAAGGTCTGGGTCCAATTCAAGAAGATGAACCCCCCTTCGTTGTTGAAAATGTCGGTCTGGACGAGATGGCCCGGTTGTCAAAGCTCGGACTTTCTACGGCGAGAACTTTGGAGTTTGGGCCAGCGGAATGGGCGAGATGACCGAAGACTCTACCACTGTAGGCGATGAGGGCAGTTCATATTCTTCTTGGAGTGGTGATGGCCCCACAGTGGTGCAGACGGTGGACGAAGATGATGATCGCCCTGATCCTGATGCTGCCTCGTCCTCCGATAATGGTCCACCGAGTGAAGTGGGGTTCTGGCGCCATGGTGAATGGAACCCACGGATGGCAGTCGTGGGAGGAGCTTGATTCTGCTTCTTCTGCCTGGTCGTGGACAGGATGGCACTCGTGGGAGGAGCAAGATTCATGGAACGGTCACCCTCATCATGACCCATCAACATGGGCTTCGTGGTCTACGTGGACGCCGTGGTCGAGCACTACGTGGACTTCTACCTCCTCGTTTGGAAATACTTCTGGGACGACGTGTGCTTTGACGACATCCACGACTTCCTCCACTACTACCACTCTGTCGTCCACTTGGCCTGTTATCCCGAATTATGGCCTCTTTCCAGACGTGCGCCCGATCTCGGCGAACGAACCGTCACCACCCTTTGTTGCGGCTGTTGTCTCGGACAGTGATGATGAGGAGGAGTTTATCCTGATGCAGATGACGAACGCCGAGCGGAGAAGCCTGGAAGAGAGAGGAGTCCCACAGAACATGTTTGCTCGTCTAGAGGGACTTCTTCAGGCTGTTGAGCGAATGCAGCAAGAGGGCCAAGGCCCTGAAGGCAGATGGTCGCTCAGTTGTCTGCATTCGCGTTTGGTTGATGGGATCGACGCTTTGGAGGCCCTCCACTCTGTGATCTCAAGGAGGTTCATCCCTCAAGGATATCTACCCGTCAGGCGCATTCCTCAAAGGGAGATGGATCGATGGCGACTCTTTAATTGGGGCAGGAATTACGTTGACATCTTCCTCAACACCCTGGAGACCAACTTGAGCGTCCGCCTTCAGCCTGCCGACTCACAGCCTTCCCCGGTTGCTCCGGCAGACTCTATCGAGTCGCTAAGTGTTCACAGCGAGACAGGGGTGACGAGCCAACCGGCCTCTTCGACTACGGCGGTCAGCTCGGCGAGTGGCACACGTAGACGTGCATGCAGGCGAAGGGCTCGGCGAACAAGATCTCGTAGTCCGACTGGGACCAGCATCCATATGCCGTCGATGGACAGCGAGTATGCCTATAACTATAACGAAGATGGTGACCTAGTGGCTGTCCCCCCTCGCTCACCTTCTGGGGGACCTTTCGGTCCCCCTCCGCCTTTGCCTGTCAACATTCCCGCTCCTGGAGAACTTCGAGGCATATGGAGAGAACCGGAGTCGACTACTGATGAGGACAATGGGGCTTCTAGCAGTCATGGTGCTAGGGGTGACAGTGACGTGGCTTCATCGACCACCACTACCTCCACCTGTTGGAATGTTGACTCGATGGTGTGGGTCTCGTCTTCTGCAAACCTGACGGACAACACAATGGCCTCTACGACGTCTACCTCTACAATGTGGGTGATTGACAATCAACCGATGGGCCTGAATAGTCTGGCTGTCTGGGAGGAACACGTGGAATGGCTGGATTGGACTGGGACATCCAAGACTAGCACCAGTATGGCACCACCTGGGATTACTTGGCCGTCTGAAGTGGTCAGGGACACCGTCAATGTGAATGTGGTACACGGAGGGCAGGGCGACACATTGGAACTCCTCAGACGCCTACTTGCACGGCTTCGTCGCTTACGTCACCAAGAGCGCCTCATTCTGGAGGCGGTGGATGAAACGTTGGAGTGGCTTCACTGCCCTGCATGAGGGCAGTGCTTTGTTGAATGTTGGAACCTATGAAAGGAACATCATGGAAGCAGTGCACCGTGAAGCTCGCGCGGGCTCTGGACCGGCCTCTGCAGCTACGTCACGTTGGATTGTGTCGCCGTCGATTCTCCTGTCACCTGATTTGCCTGGCAACTTGGAGGAGTTACATCGCGGACTTCCTGGAAATGAACCTCATGTGATTGCAGGTTATCGACGACGAGCATGGCGTACTCATGTTGCAGGACTCTTTGCAGCGGAAGGCAGAGATGTCCCCTTGGGTGGGTGGCCTGCGGAAGATGAGCGTGATCTTTTTCTTGTTCAGCAAGATGAGCACACGATGATTGGTAACATGCCATCCTCGGTGGCTTTACCTTCTTCTTGGCGTCCCGGTGGCCATCCTAGCAGTATCGGACCGTCTGCCATGAATGGCACTGGAAACCATCGTGATGGACGACCTGGGGATGCGCTCCTTCGTCGTTCTGGCCCTCGTGATGCTCCTGACCGCTTTCAAAGACGTCGTCACCATGTTCCTCGTCCGCCTCCTCGCTTTGTGGACCCCCATGTGAATCCGTTGATGGAGCAAGTGACTGGACATGACGAACGTGGGCTTCAGCTGGAAGAGAATGCTGGTCCTGCACGCCTTCGACGTTCTGTTGTACCTCATGGCCCTGGACTTCCTCAACGGCGTCGTCATCCTGCTGGCCCTCCTGTACTTCGTACTGGTGCAACCAGTACTGTTGGGACATCCTCACGTGAACCTCCTTTCTCTGTGGGTGTCTTCCGGACTTCAGCTGTTGGTGAAGAAGTTGGTGGCGTCGCTGCACCCCGTCCGACCAACAGTTCGTCAAACGGATCGTCAGACACTCGTCGTGAAGAGGTTTCGCATCGTGACGAACTTGTGAGAGAACGAAGTAGAAGCCGTGACATTTAATTTTCTGAATGTCGTGATTTTGGCCCTTGGTCGCTGGGGCTGTTCTTTAGTGTAGGCCGAGACGGCGGGCTCAAGACCTGCTCTTCTGCGAGAGTTGGAAAGGGGCCATTGCACTTTAAAAAAAAAACCGTAAACACCCTAAACCCTTTTACTTCCCTAGAACTCGATTTCCGGAGCCTTTCAACGAACCGAAAATGATACTCTGGATGAAGACCCAGCATAGTTAGGAACCTCAGGAGCACCTCGTCAGGAACCTCAGGAGAAGCTCGACATAACTCTTTGTAGGCGAGCCTGACCTGAAGCTGTGCCACTCGTCGAAAATTTATCTCAACACGTTTTGAAACTTCCCAAACCTGCAGGGGCATCATGAAAGCCTGCAGTTGAAAATGCAAGCGAAGTGCACCTACTGTTGACCCAAACCAGGTTCAAAAGAAGAGGAGACAAAGCCACCTGTAAACTGACACCAACCCCAAGATCTTACTTCCGCTTCCAATCCTCGCCTTCCAAGCAGCCGGTTCGGCACAGGGCTCGCACAGAGGGCGCCGAGGTTATGCCGCTGCTAAGGCAGCGGAGTTCTGCTGTCAAGTGAAGCAACAGAAACAACAGCCCAAGTAAGGGGTGAGGTCTGCATGTAGCCTGCAACTGGTTTTGAGCCTTACTGGTGGTTATGCTGCTGCTGCTCCTACTACTACTACTACTATTATTATTATTATCATTATTATTATTAGTATTATGATTGCTACTACTACTACTACTACTACTACTACTACTACTGCTGGTGGCGGCATCGCTGCCCGTGCCACACCATCGAGGCGATGCCCGATGACGATGCCAAAGAATAGTTCTACTGAGGTAGTAATAATTGGGGTTTACGGTTTAGGGGTTTTCAGTCCCCTAATATGGGTTATAAGTATATCTGCTACTGCTACTGCTACGACTCTTTATCTGCGACGATGAAACAGGTGACCGCGACTGCTCATGGTGCTGCTACTCTGCTGCATCACTGTCACCACACAGCCATGACAATCACCACGAACTTCGCAAGGTTTCATCGCCAGGATCTGTTCATCATCTTCTGCATGAGTGTCAACCGCATGGCCTAGGATTTTGCATTGAAGTTGCCAGTTTTCCTCCGCTCTAATTATGATGATGGTGGTGCTGATTGCATATGGTGATTTTGATGGTGATGATGATGATGCTGATGATCGTAATGATAGCCCTGATGGTGACCCACATCAATCATCCTCTACTCTCGCACAGGCCCAACGGGATGTTACCATTGCATACCCCTTCCCACGGGAGGCAGCTGTCGGCAACCAGCTGCTCGTGGGAGACTGTCATGGACCTGCCGGGTGTGGAACAGTTGGCAAGCATGCTGTGCTGCTGCGGACGTCTTGCACTCTATGATACTGTATGTTGCGTTAGTGTGCTTGATGATGCTTGATGCCTACCTGATTTCTGAATTGCTCGTTGTCGCTGTTCGTGTTCGTGCTATCACTACAAACAATACACTACAGTATAGCCTTTGCTGTTGTTGTTGTTGTTGCTGCTGGTGTTGCTGCTGCTGCTGCTGCTATTACTGCTGTTGATACTGTTTTAAACAAGTGTTCCGTTAATCGTGAATATTTACATTATTATAGTTATTGTGTTTTCGTGATTAGTCTTCTGAAAATCGACTGCCTTGCTGCTTTGCCTGCTGCGACTGCGTGCATGCCCACCCGGCGGGAACCAGAAATCCCTAAACCCGAAGCCTGAAATCCTACACCCTCAACCTTTCCCCGACATCCGAGACCCCAAACCCCAAACCCGAAAAACAAAAACAGAGATTCCAAGCAGCCTCCGGCCTCAGCTGCAAAGTTTGGAGCCCCAACCTGAATGCTCAGATTCTGAAAGCTTTGTCTCCTTCGACCCTAGGCCCTGCTATCGCCGCCCCAGAAGACGATAGGTCCCATGTTCGAAATACGAAGCCCCCCGAAGCTCAAGGACCTCAAAGGCATGAAGCTGAATCGGTAAACTGTTCAATCCACGTCTCTAGTTCGACGTCCGAACGAA